GCCTGCGGAAGAATTGAATGCTGCAACCCCCGCAGAAGACTCAATCCTTGCAGACACAGACAACACACCTTCCTACGGACCTGGTCGTCCATCACTTCCACCTCGCGGCAAGCGTCGCATTGGTCGCCCACCCAAGAACCCTCGGCCTGAATGGGATCCGGCCGACGGCGAGCAACCACTTCGAGTCACTACTCCAGTCAAAAGACGTCGCGGTCGCCCTGCTGCTAGCGGTGGACGCTGGGCACGCAACCGCGGCCCCTCCCATCTCACCCAGGTGCCCGTCGACAAGGAAGGAAACATGATGGATGTAATCAACGACGAAGTGTCGATTCCACCCGACCCAATCGGTGCTACTAAAGTCGACGAGAATGGCCACTTGCAAGGCGGACGCGAGTATCGAGTCCGTACCTTCAAGATCCTTGGTCGCGGAGACCGTCTCTACATGTTGTCGACTGAACCGGCCCGCTGCATTGGCTTCCGTGATTCATACTTGTTCTTCCAGAAGCACAAGATGCTGTACAAGATTATCATTGATGATGACGCCAAGCGCGATTTGATTGAACGCGATCTCATCCCTCACTCTTACAAGGGACGAGCCATTGGCGTTGTCACCGCGCGATCAGTGTTCCGCGAGTTCGGCGCAAAGATCATCGTCGGCGGCAAGAAGATCATCGACGACTATGACGAAGCTGCTGCTCGTGAGCGCGGCGATGTCGAGGGCGAGCTGGCTGTTCCAGAAGACCGATTGCCCGGACCCGGAGAAACTTACAACAGGAATCAGTACGTCGCCTGGCACGGTGCAAGCAGTGTTTACCACACAAATGCGCCCGCGATCCCGCTTGTTGGCGGAAAGCCAGTTGATACCAAGAAACGCCGTGTGCCAGTCACCGACGACAACTGGATGCTCGAGCATGCCCGTGCTGCAAGGTGAGTCTATATTTGATAGCGAGCGACCGACCCACTGGGACCTGTCGACTAATACATAGAATAGCAACTTTAACTCAAAGCTCGCCGAAATGCGCCGTGCGAACCTGGCTGGTGTATACGATGTCCACACCAATATCATGCAGCACCCAAAGATTATGCAGCCAACCCACGCCCGCTGGGAGCGTGTTTCCCCAGCTCCGACATCCACCCCGACTGAGTTGACGACGAACATGAACTCGTTGAACCTCTCCAACGGAAGTTCTCCTTCCGGTCATGAAAATCAGACCTCTCACGAAACCCAAGAAGCGCAAGAGGCTGCCACTGACGAAACCTCTGCCAAAAATCCTACCACTACCTTTTCCCCTGTTCCCACCCATATTCACGATCGCTATGTCATCCAGGACGTCGTTTACGAATCCCCACCATATTCAAACATGGGCATTCCGGGCCCTGATGGTGATGTGCACGATATTGGCCCTAACGGCATGGTCAGCGTTGCCAACCCCGAGCACCCCGAGTTCATGTCCCCAGAGATCCTCGAGTTACTTCCTCCCGACTGCAAGGAGGCTCTCATTGACGCTGCGGCACAGGAGGTTGAATGGAAGTCCAAGTGGACCACCGAGACCAATGACGGCGAGCGTACTCAGCCAACCAAGAGCTACGCCTGGTACCCGTAAATCATGTAGCTGATTTCCTTTTTTTTAATGAGATTCTTGCGCGTCGGCGAAATTTATGGGTTAGCATGGGCTGGGTGGCTGGACATGGCAGGCGAAAGCCACTGGAGTTTGTTTTCTTGCTTTCTGCTTCTGGGTCTGGGTCTGCTTTCGCTTTCTCGACATATGCCTTGGATAGATCTTTGCCTATCTCAATGATGTATTGACTGGTTTCTTCTTTTTCGGTCTTTGAACGCTGAGTCTACATGACTGGACTTTGCTTCGAATGATGGGACTTTTAGATAATAATGAACCACATTTTTTCTACGAGAATGTTATATTATACTCTTCTTAACTGGCTGCTTCGTTGCCTCGGATTAGCATGTTACCCCTTCTAGGATCTTCGTCACAGATATCTTTCTCTCCCCAAGCAGCCCTAGAGAAATAATTCCATTCGTCTATCTCTAGCCATGATATACTAACGACGTATAACTCAAGTTATGAATGCACAAGAGTAGTTGGCCGCATATGTGGACTTTGTGTTTGAGATCTTTCCATGCTTCAATAATCTGATTTATTTGCCTCTAGATGATATGATATCTTTTTGGTGTTATTTCTAGATCGCTATTTGTGAATATTTTCCTTCTCTGTTTGTAGCTAGAAGGATAGTTATTAGCTATAACAGTGTCGCCAGAAATGGGAATACTAATAGCACAAAGTAGAGCCACCGGCGATGTACAACATACGAAGGCAGTACAAAGCCTAAATCGTCAAAGGACCTTCCTATGTATAACTAGGAATATCCCAGGATGAAAATTCAAAATTAATAACTTAGCTTACATGAATAAATGAAAGAAAGAAAACCGAGGTCATCTAAAACTCCATTTCAAAAAAAAAACAAGAGCAAAAATAAACATGAACCGAAGAGTTCGATGGAGTTAGCTTGAGAAAGGTTGTTGAGTAGTGGAGCAGACAGATAGAAAAGGTGACATAAGACAGCACAAGACACATCGGCGTGATACCTCAAATACCTAGGTAGTGTCGGATCATATGGAGGGAATGGTAGTGAAGCAACAATCTTGGAAGAGAGATAGAGGTAATAAAGAAGAGTAAGCGGGGCGACAGCATCGAGAACCGAAGAGAGAAAAAGGCTTGCTTGATAAAATGGCCGGGTCATGCATGCAAAGATAAGACAAGGAACAAAGAAGAGGGAAAGGGTAGGATTTCAATGGAAATGAGGCTGCATTGGTCGCGTGGCTGGAAGTAGGAGGCTGTCACATGGCCATTTCCGCGCGCAACCTTGCCAGCTCGGCTTCCTCGCTGTCTTCCTCTTGTGCCTTGGCGGGGTGTTTGACTGTACACAAGTCGGTTAGTGAATGATATATGTGAGACTCGGGTATAGGGTTCTCTTCCAACTTACGATCTGTATTTCCCGCAGCTGGTAACCGGTCCAGTTGACTGCCCACCGGTACAGTCCCGGTGTGGAGCATCTTCGCGTCCATGGCTTCCTGCTCCAGACCCTCCAATTCGGCATCGAGCTCTTCCTCGTCGGGCTGTTCGCCGATAGGGAAACTGGTAATGACACTTCCGATCTCGGCGCTGAGCGCATGCTGGTCTTGGAGTTCCTCCCTGCGAATTATTAGTATATGGCCGCCACATAATATAACAAGAGCCACGATAGAGGCAATAGTATAGATGGATTCGGTGAACCCCGCAGCAACGTACATCGTCTTGTCGACATCCTCGAGCTTCATTCCACCGTGGATATGCTTCATAGCGGCGCCGGCCTGCTTCATAGCAGCCAGTGTCTCGTGGTTGATATTCGCGGCTTCAATGGAGTATATCTGCTGCTCGAGTTGCATAATCTGAGCGGTTGTCTGCTCGAGGTTCTTCTCATGGAGTTTTTTCCGTCGGAGGGCGGTTTTGGCGGCTATTCAACAAAAAATTAAAGGGACAGATAGTTAGCCACCACCTGCGACTCTTAAAATAGATGCCTAGCAACAAAGTGCAAGATCCGCAGCCATACCATTCTTATCTGTGTTAACATTCTTCCGCGCCGCAGCATCTTGATCTGAGATCTGAGTCTCGAGATGTTTCTCGCGCTTCTGTAGCGTGTCCAGCTGCGCACGAAGCTGGAGGATAGCGTTCTTGGGCGCATCCTTCCGCTTCTGAGCGGCGGCCCCGCCAAACCAAGACCACATGGTGATGTCGGTGTCTGTGTAACTGGAAACCGAAGGAGTAAATAAGCAGGATAGGCCCCGGTAGTCAGGTAATATGTCCAAATGGGACCAGGCAGTGGCCAAAAATTGGAGGTGAATGAGGAATGGAGTGGAGAGTAGATTAGTTGTTTTCTTTGCTGCAGGTCAGGTGGAGCGATAGGCTCCAGGCAAAGTCAGTGAGCTGACAGGCAAAGTAAGAGAAGGGCGTGCGAAAAATAAGCTCCGAATGACCAGTATGTTTGGGACACACGACTGGTCGAGGACGCTTCCAAGGATATGGTCTGGATGAATGCAAAGTGGAGGGGAGGGAGCCCGACTTTCCCCTCGCTGAGCCTATGACATACACGGTAAGGTCAGTCACGTGCGCCAGCAACCGTTACTATGTTTGCGATGTTTTTTACATACCTCTTATTCTTTTCTTTTCAATTTTCTCACTTCTATAATGTTGAGCATTTTCCTCAATTAGCACAGAGATGAACGGGCCGCGCCCCTCGACTCGCGTGTTCCTCTCCGATCTCGCATCTCTACAGGCGGACTCGAAGATCCGCTTTCTTGGCTGGTGCGTCGGGCCCAGAGCAGAGAACAAAATAGTATAAAGTCGAGGCTTTCCAATACTAACGATGATCTACGTTCTTGTGTACACACAGTGTGACACATTATACCATCACCACCGGCTATTTGATACTGGAACACAACTATCCACGCAGCAAGATAGCTCCAAGCTCTGTATCTGTTGACATCAATGCCGTCCTTGAGGACCTGACCGCCGAAGAACTGCGTGTGGGGACATGGCTGAATGTCTTGGGCTATATCAGAGAGTTGGAGCCGGTGCCGCCACCATCTTCATTCTCTTCGACTCCCGATGAGGCGAATAGGTCAAGTCAGAGGCCTTCTACAGTCCCTCCTCGTCCAGTGTATGTCGAGGCAATTATGGTCTTCCCAGCGGGAGCTATTGCCATCGGGGAGTATGAGCGAATCCTTTGCAATTCTCAGCAAGTTGAGCGAATGATACAGTTAACTCACTGAGAAAACATCTGTAATGCCTCAAATGATCGGATAAAACTCAAAAGCCAATAATGGAGCATCTCTGTATTAGATATTTCGCTATATAATTACTTTTCAAGCACCTCAAATACAAGGTGCGGGGTATCAAGACGTTAATCAAGACATCAGATAAAAGAATCCTCAAAAACCAACAACCCTAGACCACCTCTTTTGCCTTCTCCTCATTCGCCTGATTCGCCTGCTGAAGCTGAAGCTGCCTCCTAGCCCGCTTCCCCTCCAACTTCATATTCTCCTCCTGCATGCGCCGAATGAGAGGACTTCTCATGCGAATCTTATGCCCATACTTATAAAACACAAACGGAATCGGCACAATAATAACCTCCAACACCCCCAGCAGAGTGCCAGCCCAATTCGGCCCCAGGCTGGCATACATAGAAGCGCCAGCAAGTGGCAGAACACCACCGAGCACACTGCGAATAACCGAGTTGCCTGCCAAAGCAGAAGCAGCATACATGCCGTAGCTGTGAGTCAGGTAATTTGACGCGTAGATGAAGACGCCGGTGTTTCCCGCACCAAACGGGATACCCGCGAGCAGGGGCACGATCCAAGGGATTGAGGCTGGGGAGCAGGTCCATGCGAACCAGAGCTCGCCAATTGGGATGACTGCGGCGCATATGCAGACGAACGAGACCATTGCTTCTGGGTATGGTTTGCCAGTCTCGGGGTCTTTGGCATGGCTATTGATTATTCGCCGGATTAAGGGTTCGCAGGCGATTGTGAGGAGGACGCCGATGCCGATTCCTAGGAAGGCAAGTCCGGATATGCCTAGTTCCCATCCGCGGATGTCTTGGAAGACAATTGGGTAGGCTACGAAGCAGAGGTACAGGATACCGTAGATGATTGCGATGTAGATGTCCCAGAAGATGCTGAGAAGGATGTTAGTTTCATGTTTTGTGAGTTGCTGTAGAATGTATAAATTTAAGAAACCTACCAGATTGGCTCAGTGACTGCCATTACGAATGGCCGGCTTAAGCTCAGCTTGAGGATCTCGGGAAGGCTCGCCGTTTGGTCGTAGCGACTCCACCAGCGGGAATCGCCGCTTTCCTTGCGGAGTTTGGCTGCTTTCTTTTGGAGAATGGCTGGTGCGTAGGTTTCCTTGAGGATGATAGCAAAGACCAAGGCAACAGCAGAGAGAATGAGCGCAATCCAGCACATCCAGCGCCAGCCAAGATATTCAGTCACGAATCCTCCGATAACAGGACCAACGACTATATTCTGTTAGAAATGAGTTCTTTGTTTTGTAGAAGAGAACAGGTGAAGAACAAACCTGGTCCATTGAGAGGTCCAATACTCCAAACAGAGATCGCCAGAGCACGGTGCTCATCGTCCACCAAATCAGCCACCATACCAGGCGCGGTAGAGATCATGACACTGCCGAAGAAAGCAGCAATAAAGCGAACAACGATCAGTGCCGTGATGGACTTTGCAAGGGCGCAGGGGATGATTAGGACTGTGAATACGGCTAGACAAATTACACAGACAGGTTTCCGTCCGTAGACCTCACTCAACGGGGCCATGACCATGGACCCAATGGCGAGACCAAACAGATAGAAGGTCAAGCCAAGGGTGACGATAGTCTTGGACTCGCCGAATTCCTCGGCCATCAATGTAATGCCTGACGTATAAGAAGTTGAATATAACACGCTTCCGAGTTGGTTAGCTCGAGAACCTCGTGCTTCGTAACTTGGAGATAGAAACTCACACGATGAGAGTGTTCCATGACAGAAACAAGATGCCCATGGACTTATACTTGAAATCCCAGTTCTTGGGGTTCTCGGGGTCATCCTCGCTATCCCAGTCGACCTCATAGTCCGGGTCGGCGGTGGCATTAGTTGCGATTGTCGTTACTCGCTCCGACAGTGACACATGCGAAGTTCTCGAGGCGCGAGCCGTTAACGTCTTTCCTAGCGCATCGCAGTCGGTATGAGTGTCTACCGTGGAAATTGAATCGATAGACTCTATGTCCTGGGAGATCCTCTCGGTGTCTTCGGGCCATTTCTCTTGGCCCTCCGAATTGGAATTTTGAGCTGCCATCCCCAGAAGCTTGGGCGGGTAGCCTTCGAAGTGGTGAAACCGTGTTCAGGGAGCTTATTTGGGCGTACACCAGAGATCAAGTGAGCAAGTTACTCTAGCATTAGTGGCTGTAGTGAAGCAAAAAGGGGAAACAACAGTAAAAGTCTCCTCTGTTTGCCGACTTCGGCCCTAAGATAAGACTGTAGTAGAGTATGTCGTTCTCTATTTTCTTTATAGAGATACGGTGGTTATGCTGCAGATGTAGAGTGAAGTCCCAACGCCGAAGTTGCTTCAAGTATCAAAATCAGGGCCTTCAAACTAATATAAATTGAAACAGAAGATAAATATCGGAGGTAGCTATCACGAAAAACAGTGAAACTCGGAATTTTCCACAGTGGGGCCGAAAGCCAGTGATAAGCATATTCTACGAGAACGAGCTGGGCTTGTAGGGCTTACAGGGGGCTTGTCTGTACTTGGAAGATGATCTGTAGATCGGAGCAGTTCGTTTTTCTAGAGAGAAGCTACATTGTATACATAGCTAGAGTATCAGGTTCTCAGCCCTTACCTATGTACATATATACTTGCTCTATATCCTACCAACACTTGGCATGGGGATTTCCCCATGGGCAAAGAGCTGATGTCTCCATAAGATACGGAAGTTGTGTGTTCTGACCCAACTCGTCTCCACACGGCATATTAGGCCCGAAAGAGTGCGCATGTGGGTTCCTGTGGTGTGCCGGTTTGCCGAACACTGTGTTTGGCTCCGAGACAGGAACTTCTACGATTCTACTTTGCGTGCGGAATGTTCCGTCCATGGATGTTTTGGTATTTAGGTATGTTGTATTTCATATTCGATCTATAAGACCAAAGAAATCACATGATAAGTTAATAGGTCCTTATATACGGAGTAGTTAGACCTCGGAACCTTGGATGGTTTAATAAAATCTCTTACGGCCCCTGAGACAAAAATTCACCGCACAGGCCGCTTGTTTAACAAGCGAAGATCTAAGCGACCTGCCGAAATGAGTGTCAGATCGCGATGTATATCTGAAACCGTTCTTTGTTCCTTTCCCTTTAAATCTAGACTTTCAAACAGCCCAGCAAACGACAAACATCTTGTACTCCCCTGTAACCCTCAAATGTTTCTTCAAACCCCTCAGTAGGACTGCAACCTTGAAAGTGTTCTGTAACAGTCCAACTATCATGGTGTTGCTTATAGTAGTCGGCCTGGCTGGGCTGGCTGCTCTCTATATGTGGCGTGTTAACTGTGCCATGAAAGTAGTTCCCGAGGAGGCACAGAAACTATCACCTCATCGCTGGACAGTCGAAGAAATCAAAGCTGCCTACAAAAGGAGCCTGGAGACACCCATCGATGTGACCAAGAGCCTGCCACCAAAACAATCCCGACGATATGTGATCGTAGGCGGAACTGGTACGTACATATTAGATACAAGTCGCTCCTCATATACATCCACTAACTCCTCAAACTATAGGTCTAGTTGGCGCTTGGATAGTCTCACATCTCCTTGCACGGGGCGAAGACCCCAAGGCCATCCGCATTCTAGACCTAAACTCCCCAGAGCAGGACATCCTCAACAAAGACGTGAGCTGGATTAGAACCAATATCACCGACGAGCTGGCAGTAACAAGAGCATTTGAAGAGCCATGGACTGCCAATGTCACCAACCTGCCCCTGACGGTCTACCACACTGCAGCCATAATCCGAGCTCAAGACCGACTCAAGAGCTTCCTACCACTCAGCAGCAAAGTCAACATCGACGGCACAAAGAATGTCCTGAACGCTGCAAAAGCTGCCGGCGCCACAGCCTTCATCTGGACATCATCAGGCTCCATCGCCCTGCACCAGCCAACCTTCTGGATTGCGCCGTGGGCAACCGAGCCCAAGCGCGCAGTTCAAGTAATCAGCGACAGCACCAAACTCCCCGAATCTCACAACCAATTCTTCAGCAACTACGCCGTAACAAAAACAGAAGCGGAGTGCCTCGTCCGCGAAGCAGATGACCCAGCAACAAACTTCCGCACAGGCTGCATCCGCCCTATAAACGGCGTCTATGGCACAGGCGGCCAAGCCAATAATGTCATGACGGGCGTTTACCTCCGTAACGGCGGTAGTGCAACCTGGGCTCGCCCAATTCTGCAGAGCTTCGTGCACGCTGAGAATGTATCGCTTGCACACCTCTTGTACGAACAGTGTTTGATCCAGCAAAGCGAGCCTGGGTCGCAACTCCCGAATACAGGTGGCCAGGCGTTCACCGTTAGCGACCCCAACCCAGCGATCGCATTTGGTGATTTGTACACATTGCTCTCGACGTTGTCCAAAACGCCGGTTTCGTTTCCGGATGTGCAGCCTGCTCCGTTGCTGATGATGGCGTATTTTATTGAGATGTATACTTTCTTGCAGTATAGATATCTCTCTTGGTTGCCGAAGTTGTCGGGAGATATTGGGCAGCTTCAGCCGTCGCTGTTTTCCATTATCAATGTTCATGTGTTTGCTGATGATTCACGCGCGAAGCTGGCACCTGAGATGGGTGGGTTAGGGTATAACCCACCTTTGAGCACTCTTGATGGTCTGTGTCGGCGGCTTGTGGATTGGAATAGGAAAGCTGAGGGACAGGGTGTTGAGACAATGGGGAAGAAGAAGGGTTTGGGCCTCGTGACGGTGTCGGAAAGTGTTGGTGTGGTTGCGCCGCGGGTGGTGTGAAATATTTGAGTTTGAGAAAAGCAGCCATCCGGTTATTATTTCCATGAGCAAGATTTGGCATGCAATTCAATTTCTACTTGTTCTTAGGAGTTGAGTTCTAAATTGGAACACAGTGTAGCGTGAAAAATAATTGTATTTGGAGAGAAGAGCTCTGGTAGGAGATATTATTCATTGAATCTTCTGCAACTTGGAATAGCCAGAGCCGACCAGCAGTACCCGGCCATATCAGGGTCTCATTCCTCCCCAATTTCCATTTGGGCGCAAAGGCGTTTTTTTTGTTGGAGCTCGGTATGAGGGTTGATAAACCCCTATAGGAAATCGCAACTCGAGGCCAGTAGTTGTGGGCAACGGCACAACGAGGGCCCACTGTTCGTAAAAGCTGTGTGGGCGAGCATATGCCCTCGGTGGAAAAGCAAGAACACACATCGGCGATTGCTCAAAACGTTCATCGACGAAGGAACAAGGGTACCATCAAGTTGCACACATGACACTCCACCATGCAAGCGTTCCACCAAGCAGACTGTGCGACCAAGGACATGAATCCCTCAGCCAGCAGAAGGTTGCTAGAATGACGAGCTTTCATTTTTCAGAAAGGTAGTACACAAACAAGGTGAGATTTCACCCTTAGCGAGCCTGCTGCTGAGCCATTTGACGCCTATAGTCAAGATTCTGCATGCGCAAAGCCTCAGATGCCAGCTCAACATTAAGAATCGCTTCAGGGCCACGCTTCCACGTCTCTTCCAGACTGACTATCTCACCCTGGCTCGCCTCCTGTGCAATTTTTCTCTGCTTGTTCACTTCTTCAGAAGCCTCCTTCGTCTCTGCCAACTCCTTCTCAGTAGAACCGAGTATCTCCTCATTCTGCGAATTGTGAACCAGCCAGGCGTTCTTGCCATGCTCTTCCAGCAGAGCCAGGTTCTCCTCGCGCTTAGTCAGGTACATCCTTGACACACATGCCTTCTTGTAAGTCTCATTCCATTTTTCTAGATCGGGCGTCTGGTCTGATGCGCGAGTCGGGGCCTCTGGTGCTTCGTAACGGGATAGATCAATTCCGCCTGTGAGAGGTGCTCCTTGCGCTTTGCGCGAGAGTTCTTGTTGCATGAGTTGGGAAAATTTGGGTTCTGGCGCTTCCGGGATCCAGGGGTGCATTGTCGAGGCGTGCTCCGGGGATAGCTCTGCGTTGATGAGCTGCTGCGCTCGCGCTCGCGCAGACGCAGTGGGCGCCGCGTCAACATCTTAGAAGGTCAGTTATTAGGCTCTAATGCACGTCCCTTGCATATTCTGGGTACATACATGGCAGTGAGTCATGAGATTCGTTGATTAACGGCATTTTGATGTGATTGTTCTTGTATGGATGTCAAGACTTGACCAGTATTAATCTGAGAACCAATTGCTATATGAAGGCGGTGACAAAGGCGGCCTGGAGGTGATGTTGTAGGTATGACTCAGCTATAACAACCACGTGATCTCGACTCCTATATGCACCGAGACCGAAACAAACAAGGTGAACAGTATACCTAATTTGTAGAGTAATTGATATATCTAATGTGACTGTACCAACAGCCACTCGAGTCATGGGATACGTTGCATATGTGGCTGCAGCAAAAACTAGGGTCTGGGAGTCCGGGGAAATACTTGGGCGAATGGCATTGCTCTCTAGGATGCTCCCAACTTCAACGATGATCCTATCCAATTTGGACTGTTTTTCTCCGAGGTATCTGAGTCCTAATGCAAGTTCCTAGCTAACCGACTGGCTAAAAACCAATGCAATTCAGTCTTCACATGTGCAGCATATCCCATCCCCCGTGCGGGGGAAGCGCAACGAAAGTCTATTCCATTTTGGGTGTGCGGAATTCAATGGATGACGATCCCAAGCCCCTGTACATCGCTTAGACGAATGTCACCTACGGGGAACTTCATGTACACTAATACTCAGCTTCTTTACCGAGCTTGGGGTACTTGGGCAATGATCTTCTGCACTTGCAGGTAGTTCGTTGTATCCCCCACTAGTGCACTTGTATAAGAACCCGTATCTCCCTGGGGTTTCGAGGATTTCGACCTTTCAAGGCCTATAGTTACTCAGCACATCTTTACTGTGCATGCCATAACTCTATATTACTTGTGAGATATTGGAAGACCCTCTCAATCATGGCTAACTTTCGCATGGGCGTTACCTTTGCTGGGGTGGCTCTTGGGACACTAGTTTTTTTGCAGCTGATTGCGATATTCAAGCTCGATAGTCACCCGCAGCCACCTTTGCCTAGGTTTAGTTCAAATTACAACCAGTGGAAGAGCAGAGCAAACGCGGCGGCAGCTGATGATATCTTTTTAGTCGGAGCCGGCAAGGCAGACGTAACTGGGTATGTTTATGCTGTGATTTTGACATATCAATGTACTAGATTGGGCTAATATAATCACTAGGCCCGTTGTGGAGCTTGCTCTCGCTGGCTATGCTAGTTTGGACCAACTAGGCACCGGTCTGAAGCAGAGGCTGTATTCTCGTGCTTTCATCTTCGCAGACCCAAACAAGCCCGATGATACTTTTGTGTACTTGGTTCTCGATACACTTACGGGTGACACAGCTGTGCGACATGGTGTCCTGGAAGGTCTCGCTATGCTCGGTGGGAAGTATGCACGGTACGGCGAACACAACGTCGCAATGACGGGCACACATTCGCACTCCGGGCCTGGAGCGTGGATGAACTACTTGCTGCCTCAGATCCCGGCATTAGGCTTCAACAAGCAAAGCTACCAAGCCATTGTCGACGGCACTATTCTCTCAATCATTCGTGCCCATGAGAGCTTGGAGCCGGGTCGACTCTCTTTTGGAACCATCGACTTGCAAGACACCAATATTAATCGCAGTCCTTTTTCATACGAGCATAATCCCAAGGAAGAACGGGCGAAGTATTCTGCTGACGTTGAAAAATCGCTCTCGCTCATTCGGTTTGATCGCGAATCCGATAATAAAACAACGGCTGTCCTAACATGGTTCCCTGTTCATGGCACATCCATGTACAACAACAACACTTTGGTCAGTGGCGATAACAAAGGTGTCGCAGCTTATCTCTTCGAGCGCAGCATCGGCGGTGATGCGAGGTTCACTGATGATGCTGTTATTGGATTCTCTCAAGCAAATGTCGGCGACACATCCCCTAATATCCAGGGGGCTTGGTGCGAAGACGGCTCTGGAGAGATGTGTCGATATGAAGATAGCACTTGCGGCGGCAAAAACGAGGATTGCCATGGCCGAGGTCCTTTCTTCCGTGAGGGTGACAACGGAGCGAAGAGCTGCTTCGAGATCGGGCGCCGCCAGTACTCAGCAGCAAAAAAGCTTTACGAAGAGATGGACACCACCCCTATCAAAATCACTGGAGGTTCGGCGGTGAAGTCTTTCCATGTGTACCAAGATATGAATGGCTACACTTTCCGCTCGCCGTTCAACTCGAGCACGCTGACGACTTGTCCTGCGGCTTTGGGGTACTCGTTTGCCGCTGGAACTACAGATGGACCCGGTGCCTTTGACTTTACCCAGAATGCTACTGGTCCAGCTGGGCGTAACCCCCTGTGGCAAATTGCGAGTGCGGTTATTCACCAGCCCAGCAAAACGCAGCAGCAGTGCCAAAGCCCCAAAAGCGTGCTATTGGATATCGGCACTCTTACTGAACCTTATGCATGGGCTGCGGACATTGTTGACATCCAGGTCTTGCGAGTGGGTCAGCTGTTCCTTGTTATCTCCACCAGCGAAGCTACCACGATGTCTGGGCGTCGCTGGAAGGAGGCTATTGCGAAAGGAGCAAAGGATCACCTTTCTGTTTCCGACCCTCTAGTGGTACTGGGAGCCCCGTCAAACAGTTACGCCCACTACGTGACAACCGAGGAAGAGTACGGCGCTCAGCGCTACGAGGGCGCGTCCACACTCTACGGCCCAAACACACTGGCGGCCTATGTCAATCTGACCCTCACCTACCTACCATATTTGGGAATCTCCTCGGAAGTTGCCAAACTTCCAGCCATTCAATCCGGTCCCAACCCACCAATCAACACCAACCGTTCATTAAGCTTCATTCCGGGGGTTGTGTATGATGGAGCGCCCATTGGCAAGAAGTTTGGAAACGTGGTTTCAAACCCGGGGAATGGACCCTATGGCCCCGGAGATATTGTCAAGACGACTTTCGTGGGTGCCAATCCCCGCAACAATCTGCATCTCGAATCGACCTACGCTGCGATTGAAAGAAAAAGCGATTCTGGAACATGGGAGGTCGTGCGCAATGACCGCGACTGGAATTTAGTCTTCATGTGGAAGCGGACCAATGACGTTCTTGGCTACAGTGAGGTAACAATTCAATGGGAAATTGAAAATGAGTATTATAGTGTCGACACTGCGTCCCCCCTGCAGGCTGGGACCTATCGGATGCATTATTACGGCGACTCAAAGAATCCCCTTGGCCAAATCTCGTCATTCGAGGGCATTAGCGGGATTTTCACAGTGAAGACTCAGTAATCTGACTCATTTATGATATAGTGGAGTGATGGCAAGTTGAATGAAAGGTGTCAAACAATCTAATTGCTAGAGTGTATGACCCCCGGGGAAGTAAGCTCCAGACCAGATTAATTATATCTCAACTTACGCGCCCGTACTCTGCACATGTAGCAAATGAACTAGCTAGACTCTCTTGGTCTACAAATATACCCAGTTCATATGTCAACATGGAATCTTCACGAAAATAATAAAGTGGTCCTGCAGCTGCAGCTGGCCAATCACCACGCGCCATCGACCAGACCTGGGCGCCTACTGCAACGTCTCTTTGTCGCGCCATCTATTTGTAGCATAAATTCTGTCTCACAAAGAACCCCTGGCAATGGCGGTTCCCTCTGGGGCTAATAGTATTGGGTTACTGTGGACTTGTGGAAAAACTTCCCAAGGTTCAAACAATGGGCGGCTGACATGAAGCCCTAAGCTAAACTTGGCCCCTTATGAAACCCCAAAATGCAGATATACCAACAAGGATCCTCGATGGCGAGGGGTTTGAAAGAAAAAATCTCTTTCCTGCTAAAGTCTCAGGTTGCATCATTTTGCTTCATTCTGTCCCATTCTTTTGTTTCTCTTCGCTTTTGTGGTCCCTAGTGATCCAGCCATTCTTTCATTTGCAAGCCATCAAGACGCCTCCCAGGCCTTGTATACCAATTAATTTCATAATATTGTTTTTTGGCCATGCTTGTTTATACGTTTGATTATTTCTGTATTCAGGGAATTTAGTATATCTCTGACTGAGCACCCAATTTTCTTTCCTACTTTGTCGAAGTCGTGTCCCGGCGATCACTTCCGACACTCTCGTTTCTAAACCAGGATGCTTCGCTTTCAGTTCTTTTTGTTTCTTCTGCCATGGATGGCTTCAGCTGGTCCGATCTCTCGCTGGCTATCTCCGTCATTGGAGACACGCGGGCGGACTTCTTTCCCCTTATTGCCGGATATTGAACGACGTGAAGCTGGCGGTATCACCGAAATCACGCCTATTGCACCGCCTACCCAGACACCGTTTACGTACGATGAGCCAATAGTATATTACCCTTTTCTAAACCATTAAATCACTAAGCTAACCATCGAAGCCAAGTACATACCATGTTCCGACCACCAGTCAAGAGCCGACTATCAGTCTAGAGTCAAGTGCTAGTCCAGAGCCAAGTTCTAGTCCAGAGCCAAGTTCTAGTCCAGAGCCAAGTGCTAGTCCAGAGCCAAGTGCTAGTCCAGAACCAAGTGCTAGTCCAGAGTCAACCACTAGTCTGACACCAGCGACTACTCAAGCGCCAACCACCAGTCTGAAGCCGACTATCAGTCTAGATTCAAGTGCTAGTCCAGAGCCAACCGCTAGTCTGACATCAACGACCACTCAGACGACAACCACCAGTCTGAAGCCGACTACCAGTCCACAGCCAAGTGCTAGTCCAGAGCCAAGTGCTAGTCCAGAGCCAAGTGCTAGTCCAGAGCCAAGTGCTAGTCCAGAGCCAAGTGCTAGTCCAGAGCCAAGTGCTAGTCCAGAGCCAAGTGCTAGTCCAGAGCCAACCACTAGTCTGAAGCCGGCTATCAGTCTAGAGTCAAGTGCTAGTCCACAGCCAACCGCTAGTCTGACACCGACGACCACTCAGGCGCCAACTATCAGCCTGAAGCCGACTATCAGTCTAGAGCCAAGTGCTAGTCTAGAGCTGACTGCCACTCAGAATGGAACTACATCTCAAAAGCCAACACCCACCTCTCATGCACCCACTACGACTCGGCGATTCATATCTTCATCCACAAACCCGCCTCCACTGCCTTCACCAACTAGTATATTGCCTATCTACCTAAACCCCATCTATACCGCAAGCTCAACACCTTCCCTTAATTCCTTTGTGATACCGAGTTCAGCCCAATCTTCATCGGCTGCGCTTCTAGGTGAAACAAGCAGCATCAATGCTGCCACAGCCACACCACCAATCTCGACTTCCACGACCATGCCGCTAGCGATAGTACCGGTGCATACAGTGTCTACAATGCCCACAAGCAGCAACCTAGCTGTCGGAGCAATTGCATCTCCAGGAGGAGCAAGCAGTAATACTTCTTTCACGTCCACCTTGGTGATCTCGACTTCCAATCCCATCCAACTAGCGAATTCTACGCTGGCACAACCTACATCACTACAGCCTCCCACGTCAGGATCCAAGCCAGTGGTGACTGTAACCGAGCCTGTGATTGTATATGTGACCAAAGGAGCACCAACTGCCTTCTCGACAAGCGTCATCCATCACGCATCCAGTGCCAACAACTCAGCGATGTTGTCAGCGAAGCCAACGGTCATACCGTCTGTCGAATCAACGAGTACATCTTTGATTTTTGTAACTATCCATTCCACTGCAACTTCGGTTGTTCGTGTGACTGTTTACCCAACATCATTATTACCTGCTTCTTCGTCTTTGGTCTTGCCGTCCTCGGCTGGGAGTGCTCTGAGTGTGAGTACAGCGCCTATAGGGACCGATCATGCTAATGAAACGTCGGCTGTTCCTATGACCATCAACTCGAAAACGCAATTGCCTCCGTCATCTTTGTTGCTGTCACCCTCAAGCGAGACTGCTCCTGTGGTGACAGCTCATGTCACTTCCACAAGTGTTGTTCCTCTGGCCGTCTATTCAACTACATCGTTACCTTCTTCTGCGTCTTTATTCCCACCCGCAAGTGAGATTGGTTCTACCGTGACAGTTCATGTCACTTCCACAAGTGTTGTTCCTTTGACCGTTTATTCAACTTCATCGTTACCTTCTTCTGCGTCTTTATTCCCACCTGCAAGTGAGATTGATTCTACCGTGACAGTTCATGTCACTTCCACGAGTGTTGTTCCTCTGACCGTCTATTCAACAACATCGTCATCGCCTTTGTTGTTGCCGTCCTCAAGTGAGACTGTGGTGACAGCTCAGGTCACTTCCACAAGCGTTCTTCCAGTGATCGTCTATTCAACAACATCGTCATCGCCTTTGTTGTTGCCGTCCTCAAGTGAGTCTGCTCCTGTGGTGACAGCTCAGGTCACTTCCACAAGCGTTCTTCCAGTGACCATCTACTCGACAGTATCGCCGTCTGCTCCATTGTTGCCGTCCTTAAGTGAGAGTGAGACTGCTCCACGTGAGACTATTACTGAAAAGACTACCCACACTATCACAACAACCCTTCGCCTAACATATTATGGGCCGAGCGCTACACGAGCAGTGGAAACTACACATGCGGCAGATCCTGCATCTACTACAGATTTCAATATCGCTACTACAACCTCCAAACCAGGCAAAGGCATACTTACTGTGCATCCGATTACACCGTCTGGGTTTATCACGATCACTGAAACTCAGACCGAGACAAAGATCAAGACTGTGACAGATCGCATTACTGAGACTGTTACTGCCACCGTTACTCGCAATTAACTGTAAGATCAGGAGGAAATTGACACTCTTTTCTTTTCTTTTTTTTTTTTTTAATTATGGAGGCTTTGGGGGGGTTTCTTTCTCTCATACTTCAGACTATTTTCTCTGCTTTCTAACTACTTATGTCGAATTTCCCTTGTAACTACAAGTTAATACAATGAAGCTATATTCAGGCTGAGCCTCAAAACACATGTTTCAGTCCTCGCTGGTCCCTGAGCGATGTAATTCCTGAGCTTTTGCTCTTCCATACCCACCCAACATGAACCTCAAAAATCACTGCCAATATAGACCTACGTGGATAACAGCGGCTATGTGTTGTTTTCTATGATATATCCACTCGAGTCTCAGAAAAATATTCATAATCAAATACTATAACCACACATAAACATCAACTATCTCTACCTTGCCTTCCATCTAACTCTCCCAACCCACATAGCCCAATCCCGCACATCCTCCCTCTCACAAATCCTTTCAACAGTAAACCACTCCCTAGCCAGCTCCTCATTACTTGCCATGCGATGCACGAAACTATGACAGGCGCGACAAAGCCAGGCCACACTATTCAACATCCACTCATCATGCCACCCTTTCTTAATAACCTTCGCATGCACCCCGCGTGGAATCAAATGGTGGTACGAGAGCGGGATCCAGTCGCGCTCGCAGATCTCGCACGCGTCCGCGCGCGTGTTAGCCCACGCCGGGGGCCCAGTGGTCACGCTCGATGTGTACTCTGCCAGCACGGGAGCGAGGAAATCCACCAGGTCTGCTGCATCGGGGATTATGCCATAGACGAGTAGCGAGTCGGTTACGCTGACTGGGATTGGGGACAATAGGGATTCAAGCGTGGCGCGTGGGAGGGGCGTGTCGGCGTCTGGGGGGATGTAGAGGGTTGATAAGGTTGGATCGTGTTGGATAGCTGCGTAGCTTAGGGTTTGGAGAGGGGTTGGCAAGATGGCGAAGGTTTCTGAAGCCAGGAACTGGGGTTGTTAGCATTGGATCTTGTTAGTTATTGGCTAGTATGTAGGTTTATTGGGCCTAAGGGCTCATTCCTTTGCGCTGGGTTGATCTGGCTGGGTGCATGTACATCAACAAATTCGGCGAGCTCTTCCGGGTCTGCTCTCCCTGCTGGCACTGTTGTGGCTGCTGTTACGTCTTTGCGCTCGGTGCGCTTGCCCTTTGGCTTCCGTCGCGTTTGCTTCGGTTTTTCCTCAGAGCGGGCCACGATGGCATTAGACAGACATTCACGGAACACAGCATAGTTCTCATTGGAAGTCATTGAGAGTTAAATGGGAGAAAGGCCTTGACCTTACACCTTGGTCAGAAGTATGTTGGGCAGGGTCTGTTTTGCCCCACGGAAGATTGACATCATTCGTGCTTGCATTCTTCAATGCTGAAGATCTTGACTTATCCCGCTCTCCCGTTCCAAGATTATCAGAAAACATCATGACAGCCAAGACAGTTGTCGCTTTTGATCTATATGGCACTTTACTATCAACTGAATCGATCGCTAAAAAACTAGAGAAACATTGTGACAATGCCAAGGCGCAATCGATCTCCGCCCTCTGGAGGCGGTATCAGTTGGAATACACATGGAGGTTAAACAGCATGGGCAAGCAAGGCTTCTAAGCTTCACGGTCCAAATTATTGACGACCAACAGGCCGCTATGAAGACTTCTCAGTCATCACACGTAATTCCCTACTGCACGCGCTGGCCGACAACAACAAGCAACTGAGCAACGACAACATCGAACACTTAATGCAAGCTTACGACAGTCTGTCGACGTTTTCCGACGTCAATCCAGCATTGATCCGCATAGCTGCAGACCCAGCCATCCAAGCTGTAATATTCTCCAACGGGACGAAAACTATGGTGTCCAACTCGGTGTTGCGGTCCAAGGACCTCTTGCCGCACGCGAATGTCTTCCAAGCTATCGTCACGGTAGACGAAATCCAGCAATACAAGCCATCGAAGGCAAGCTACGAGCATCTAGCGAAACAGACAGGCCAAGACCCATCGGAGATGAACAAACTTTTGGCTGATTAGCGGCAACCCTTTCGATATTGTCGGGGCGCGCGCTACAGGAATGCAAGCTATATGGGTTGACCGGATTGGTACGGGGTGGAAGGATGCCGTGGCTCCAGATTTACAGCCAACGGCCATTATACACAGTTTGGAGCACATTTTGAACGAGATACATGCCCATCGGCTTTGAGCCGGGGCGTCACTTCGAACAAAAGCTCCAAATGCCAAAACAGGCTTGAAAAGGAGGAATGTACTGCTGAATATATTTCCGAACGCTCCACGCTTGAGTAGAAGAGTTTGGGGTAAGCCAGCAGAATTGGTCTTTCCTCCCATTTCCCCTCCAGAACAGTGATTGTAACAAAAGTTCAGAGTGAATAGGGAGGATTTCAGTTTATGTGAAGAAGGAAAGGAAAAGGGCGCTCGGCGAAAAATTTCTTGGTAAAATAGTACCGGCTTAGTCATCCCGACTGTTGGAAGGTACAACGGGTGCCCAAATCCATCCATCGATAGATCACGTGTGGCCTTATCGATAAGGTGCTGCCTACTCTCGAACTTATTCATTGCTGTTGGTAGGGATTCTTTGCAACTGTGAATATACAAGTCATGTCGCGACTCCTGGATCCCAGCCGAGCTGCTTGGCTGTATCCTTTCTGGGTATGTCACTGTGCGGGCCCCAAAACTTCAGGACTAACCTATGTAGGGAATCTATTATTTCGCGTCGAATCGGTTCTTATGGCCTCTCTTCAAGGCCCGCCTTCTCCCCATCGTCCTCCTCTCATCATTCATATACTTTATTCTCTTTTTCTTCACCTACCTGCCCCAGGTTGCCTTCCTTGCTATCTTCCAGGGTAGCTCGGCATGGGTAAGCGGCGCATTCCTAGTGCTTGGTGAAGGGGCAGCGATCGTTGCCGCACTTTTCGAGGCATTCTTCGTCGACGAGACTCTAGTGGATATCTTCGATGCAGTATTGGTGAATGAGGGACAGGAAGAGCTTGTTACCACCTCCCGAGTCATTTATCCCGAGCCCGGTAACCCGGCCAAGCGTCTAGGCACGCCGACCACCAGTGCCGTATACTCTCCATTTTCATTGCGGCAGATCGTCGAGTTTATCATTCTACTTCCGCTTATCTTCATCCCGGTGGCTGGCACTCCTATGTTTCTAGTTTTGACTGGCTATCGTGCCGGTCCCTTCCACCACTGGCGTTACTACCACCTGCTGGACATGTCCAAGCAGCAGAGAAAGGAAAGTATTAGTCGGCGTCAGCTGCAGTATACTACGTAAGTCATGTTCATTTGCTCTATCGATATGAGATCTAATAAATTCTAGCTTTGGGACGGTGGCTCTACTCCTCCAATTGATTCCTCCTTTCTCTATGCTATTTTTGATGACCACGGCTGCTGGGTCGGCACTTTGGGTGACGGACATCGAACGCAAACGACGAGCTATCAACCAGCAGTCCAGTCGACTGGGTGAGCAATACCGTGACGATATTATGCCATGACATGTGAACGATATATTACCTCTTTTCGGGTCCCCGAGGTTATTGCAGAATACATTCAATTTTCCATTTTTAGTTCCTTATTCAGGCGGATCGCGAGAGCCCCTTGGTTGATGCCAGTAGGGAACGACCGATCGCAGCCCAATCATTCTCGTTAAGTCTCGTAATTCCCTAATATATTTTTTTTGTAAAAACGAAAGCTCCAGAGCTTGTTAGATTACAGGTGCCACGTGATTACGCCACCGAGGCGTTTCTTTTTTTGTCTTTTGCAAATATATCCACATTATAATGATTAGAAACATCCTTTGAGAGCGAAATATCAAAGATACCCTTCTGTTATATATGTAGTTGACTCGGTAGAGTTCAAGTACCCCAGATTCCCAAGCCTTGGAGCTCTGAGCTCTAGAGGGTTGACCCGCTTAGTAAATCCGGAAAGTGTGACCCCAGACTTCGAACCTGAGAGATTCGGATCTTCCCCGAGATTTCCAGAGCTTTTGCCTTTAAAGTTCCTGGCTTATTTCCGACTTTCGGGACGATTTCGGCATTCTTTTCGGTTCAGAATTAAGCCTGACTTGGATTAAACATGACCTGACGGCTCGAGGTGTGGTCCCGGCAATTTGCTCATCGATGGACCTGAAAACAAGGTTGCGCAAGGCCTGCGATGCCTGTAGTGTTCGGAAAGTGAAGGTATGGACCTTTTTTTTTTTTTATAATCTGCGGGGAAATACTGATTTTCATGCAAGTGCGATACTGGTGGGCCACCTTGTCGGTCGTGCGCTAGCTTGGATATTCCCTGCACCTATGAAAGACCAAGCAGACGTCGCGGGCCTCCCAACCGCCATGCAGAGGCGATTAAGAAACAGAAGCGAGAGCCTGAAGATGCAGCGTCGCTGAGCCCGGCAGACTATCCGTCGGTGACGGCTCCCTTGGCAACGCCATTCACCAACCCTCAATCTGCATCGTTCCCTCTTTCGGTGGAGTCGATTTGTTCTTTGCACACGATGCAGATGCTGCTCGATGATTTTTTTACTTACATTCATCCTTTGGTCCCAATTCCACATGAGCCTTCTTTTCGAGCAGCCTTTGAGCGCCGGGAAGATGTAACCAACCAAACATTTTTGGCACTTTTGGCGTCAATGATTGGCCTGCTAGTTGCTTCCTTTCCTCGACGGCCTAAACTTCGGCTCAACACTGAAGCCGAACGCACCGCGTTTCCCAATTCTATAGCTCTAGTAAAGCGGTGCCTTGACGTTGCTATTCAAGCCCGCGGGACCGGATATCTTGATCGCAACGCCACAGTCTACGACGCAGCAATCAGCTATTTCCTCGCTGTATGTTCCGGGTATATTTATAACATGCGCCGATGCCGTATCTACCTGTCGGAATGTCGAGCCATGCTCCAAGTTTATGATTTATGCCGGTCTCCGACCACCGCCAACCCCCCGTCCTCGACACTAGGGCCCCTCAGTCCACTAACATCGGTGTCAGTAATGATGAATGATCAATTAGCAAAAAATTTCACGGAAAGCCAAGGCGTCGACCTCATTACTCAAGAGCTCGGCCGGCGTCTGTTCTATGTCACGTTAGTCGGATATCAGACATTACACCAGATGGGCTCTTCAGATATCAAGGTCCATGTTCCTCCAGAGACACCAACAGACCGGTATCCACCACTCCCGTTAGAGATAGACGATGAATTCTTATTCTCATCACATGTTGAGCCGCAGCCATCCGACCGAGTTTCACAGCTAGTCGGATTCAACGCAAACGTCCGTGTCTACAGCTCATATACCAACCTGTTAGCTTGGGAAATAGCATTTGGCAGTGGTCAAATATTTGATTGGGAGCACCAGCGCAACAGCATTTGGGACTGTCTCAAGCAAGCAAAATCTACATTAATCAATGTTCCTGCTGAGTTGTCTCTCCGCCACCCGCAACACATATCTCCGACAGGTTTATCGGGTCTTGATGGAGATGACACAATCTTCAGTTACTCGAATGATCACATCCACCAAGAACGACGTGCTATACAGTATGAGATCCAAAAAGCCAATATCTACGCTAGTCAGCTATGCACCAGGTCCTTTTTGGTCGAGAAGTACTGGAGTCTTTTCGAAACGTTTTCAAAGTACGGAAAGTCGTCTAAATTCACGACCCCGGGCAGTACTACACCACATATCAAAATCGAAGGAAGATCCAATCCGGTACCGAGTGCGAGTGCGAGTGCGACACCCACCACCACAGCCCCATCAGAAACCAACACTGAAGCTCAACCCCATACACACACAGACTATATTGACCGTATGATGGCTGAAGAGCGCAAACTGGTCATCAAAGATCTCTTCGTACTATTACGAACTGTGAATGAAGTGAACATGGAGCCGAACGGCGCAAGCATTGTACGTTACAGACCACTATTACCACTTATCATGTATCAAAGCTAACAAAAATGGCCCGCCGACAGACCAATAAAATCCGGCAAGTAGCATCAACCCTCCTCAGTCTCCCCCAACGGCCGATTCATTCCACAACCGAAGTCCCAAATCTCACAACCGCTGCCGCACCATCAGCATCACCAACAGCTGCCTCGCCAGCCCCCCACGCCCTCACTGCTGCAGAGGCGGAGTCCTACCTTCACGCATTCATCGAGACGCTTGTCCGACTGGAATGTCATTCTCCCATGAGTGATACAGCCAGTTCTGTCGACGCCGTCAGTCCGCAGATGAATGGCCGCGCTATGAGCTATCTGAGTGATTATGAGCGTGATCAAGAAGAATTGAGCCAGTGGGCGAGCTTGAAGCAGTTTCAGCAGAAGTTTGCTGAAGCTGGTGGTGTTTTGAATCAGTTGTAGTGTTTTCAGCATCTTCTTCGTGTTGCTATTTTCCCTCCGACATTCGTATATTACTTTCAGGATGGAAAGGCTAAGGGTTCTCACTCGTTGGATCACGGATGGATATCATGTCTTTCATTATTGAAATATGAATATATCAAAGAACTCATCTTTGGTACTATGTTTACCTTGAATATAGCGTCTCTCGTCATCTCGAACCAGCTGGGTATCTAGAATTCTACTTAGGCACTCCCGCACGAGTGTAATAAAGCGGCGGCTATAGCCCCGGCATATTGAAATCCTACGCCGGCCCACATGAGCGGTCGACTAATATATTTTTTTTATATAAAAGAAGCGAAAGACAATGTGGCCATTCGGCCATGATATTTGAGCATTTACACATGCGCTGCGACAGCAGCACTCTCCCTAATTACACTGATTGTATGATTTTCTTCCGGTCCCTTGTACATCTATGTACTAGGGACGCAACAACGCCGAGACCCTGAATGCAAGTCAATCATGTCGAGAGAAAAAAGGAAAATATAATACAAAATTGGAATGAAAATCACGAGGGGAATGGAGAGTGCGAGATGAAACAAATAATACAAGCGGTCATCACGACCGCATAGATGTTGAGATCACGGTATATCTCACAGATATCGCTTCTCGGAGATCTCTTCGTAGCACTGGACATGGTCACCAGGTGCGAAATCTGTCCAGTTTTCGAAAGCGATACCACATTCTGTGTCTTTGCGCATTTCAGTGACGTCTTTCTTGACGTTCTTGAGAGAAACCATTGTGCCTATTGTGGAACGTTAGTTTAATCCAAGTTATGCTTGTTGGGCTACCTGTGATATGCTTACCATCGTAGACTATCTCCTCTCCGCGAAGCACCCTGACCTTGCGAGTTTTGTTGATCAGACCGTTACGCACACGACTTCCAGCAATAGCTGTCTTTTCACGTCCCTTGACAGTGATCTCGAAGACCTGCTGGATCTCAGCTTCTCCGGTCACACGCATTGTGATGGTTGGAGGCAGCTTTTCACTGAGAATACCCTTGATGTCATCAATCAGTTTGTAAATGATGTTGTGGTCCAAAATTTCGACGCCCTCCGCCTCTGCAATACGCATGATATTAGGATCAATGGCTTGATTGAATGAGATGATCTTGCCATTGGCACTGCCAGCATGTTCGATATCGAATTCACTGACAGGGCCAACACCCGAACGGATGATATTGGCAAAGACTTCATTGTTGCCGACTGCTGCAACGGAGTTCAAGACCGCCTCCACCGAGCCGTCCACATCGCCCTTTAGGATGAAATTGACCGACTTGGGACCGGTTGGTTCGACTTCCTTCTCTGTTTCGTCGTCGTCTTTCTCGCGCCTGCGCTTCTCGAGAAGTTCACGACGAGCCTCGTTGATGGCAACCATATCGACACCCATCTTCTGGGTATCAGATCTCTCCAAGCGGTAATCTACGACGTCCTTGGCTTTTTGCTCGTTTGGTGCCTGTAGGATCTCAGTGCCAGCACCTGGCTGCTCTCTCCAACCATCAATCTCGACGGGCATTCCAGGAGTGGCTTCACTGATGGTCACACCAGCTTCATTGCGGAGGGTGCGGACACGAGCCCATGCGGTACCAGCAACAATGATATCGCCTGGCCGCAAGGTTCCACGTCGAATCAGAGCGGATGCTACACGTCCATAGCTCTTTGTGGAGGCCTCGATGACCCAGCCTTCGACATTACAGGTGGTGGCTGCGCGGTGATCGAGCATTTCTGAAAGCGCAACGATGGCTTCTTCCAATTCAACCATTCCTTGTCCGGTCTTGCCGCTGACACCAATGGCCTGAACGTCACCTCCATAGTCCTCCACGTGAATACCATGAATAGAAAGATCACCCTTGACTCGGTCGGGGTTGCCATCCTCCTTGTCAATTTTGCTAATGGCGACAATGACGGGAACCTTCGCTTGAGTGGCATGCTTGATGGCCTCGATAGTTTGCGGCTTGACACTGTCGTCCGCAGCGACCACAAGCACCACAATATCGGTCACGTCGGCACCTCGGCGACGCATTTCCAAAAATGCAGAATGACCGGGGGTATCAAGGAAGGTAATGGCTTTCCCGGAAGGCATCATTACGGAGAACGCACCAATATGCTGGGTGATGCCACCATGTTCAGACGCTGCCACAGATGAATTGCGCAGCCAATCCAAGATAGTAGTTTTTCCGTGATCAACGTGACCCATAATAGTGACCACTGGTGGCCGAGGTGGCAGATCAGATGTATCCTCTAGTTCGGGGGCAGCGTGTAGATCTGCTTTGCCACTGTCGAAGATGGCCTCGTAATTGAACTCGGCTGCTACCAATCCGGCAGTTTCTGCATCGAGAACATCCCTATACGTGATTTCCTCAAAGCCCATCTCCTCCATTCGCTGCACAAACTGCGCCGGCCGCACGCCAATGACATCGGCTAAGTTGCTAACACTGATGAATTCGGGCAGGTAGAGAGGAGCCGGTGCTGCCAGCGCCGCGGCCTTCTTCGCGGCCCTTTGAGTTTCCTTTTCTTTCTGTTGGCGTCGCCGCTCTACGCGGAGGCGCTCGCGATCTTCCGAGTCAAAGTCAGCCCCATCAGACCCACTCTGACGTCCCTTGCGCCCATCACGGCGCTTCATAGGCTTCGGCTGCTGCTGCTGTTCTTGTGCCTCTAGATTTTCTAGCTGCTCCAATGCAGACATATCCCAAGACCATTGGTTCTTCTTGAAATTTTCAATTTCCTCTTTCGTTTGGGATCGGTCAGATTCGCCAGAATTGCGCCCCGTGCTTTCTGTTGTATTCGGCTGAGCATCTTGTTCCAACTCGGATAAAACTGAATCCCCTAATTGCTGGAACTTTCTAGTATACTCAGAAGGGGATCGAGAGTGTTTGAATTGCGAAGGTCCGGGAGAATCGCTATACTCTCTAGTCATTCGGAACTTTGGCTGGGCGTCACCGGGTCGAGAGGTTTTGCAGAATGGACACACTTTCTTAGTGGCAAAAACGCGTGCCATACACTGAGGGCAGTTCCAGTCGTCGCGGGCCTTTGAATGGTCCTTAATCGCCCTGCTCTGGAATTGGCCCTGGAATCTGTTCTGTGTGTTTTCAGGTGCAAATGGGTTCTCTTCTTCAAAAGCCGGTTTCCTTTCCCGAGTGGATGGATTCCTCTCCTGATAACGTCGGGGTTCTCTTGATCTCATGTATCCGCTTGGATTCTCTTTTTCAAAAGGGGTTTTCTCTTGAGTGAACGGCTTCCTCTCCTGATCCCGTGAGGTTGCTCTTGACCAGCCCATATAGTTACCTGCATTTTCTTTTTCAAACGGGGTTTCTTGAGTGAACGGGTTCCTCTCCTGATTCCGCGGGGTTCCTTTTGACCAACTCATGTAGTTACCTGCATTTTCTTTTTCAAACGGATTTTTTTCTTGGATGGACAAGTTCCGCTCCTGATTTCGTGGGGTCTCTTTTGGTCCCATCATATAGCCATGATTATCCCGAGGGCCCACGCGCCGCGCGTATGGTTTCCTCTGCTGATTTGATTGCCCCGAGTTCCATTGCAGATTAGACTGTTCTCGGCTCCGTTGCGGTGGTGCAGGTGCTGGCGGCGGCGGTGGCGGTTGGCTATTGGCGACAAGGGTTTGGCGCATAGCTTGTTCTGCGAAACTCAAGCCCGCCGATGGCGTAGTTTGTTTAGGGCCCCATCGGCTGCCGAACTTGGGCTTCGCCGGCGCTGGATTTGAAGCAGTGCCATCGCCGTTCCCATCCGATGGGTCTGATGAGTTCCAAAGCGCCGCAGACGACCGCAAGGTCCGTCGGACTGTGAGAGCTGTTAAAGAGGGCGTTCGGTAGGCTGAATTTGACCACTCAGCCCGACGCGATAGCTGTAATTTTGGTTAGATGTTGCCCTAAAACTTAACAACTGCAAACTTACCCTGCAGACTGGCCGACGATGCATCATTCACTAGTCTCTCCACATCTAGATCCGTCAACGCTTTTTTTCCCTTCCAGAAGTTCGAGAGGATAAGCTTAGGTCACTGCTTAGGTCAGCTGTGGATATCAAAATGCCCAATGTAGAATCCCCGCCGGAAAAGTCACGTGTTTCGGCATTTCCATCCAATCATAGGACAGATGGCGCCATAGCGATAAGAGGACTGGATATAAAGTCTGGAGTCTCCGGATTTTGTGTCCCTGTCTATACGTTTAGTCGCAATTGCATAATTCTTGAAACATGGAGACTGAGGTAATTGACAGTATGGATAAGGGCGGCGGCGCCCTCCGCACCATCAAGGATTTGGCCGCGGGCGCAGCAGGTGGAATTGCCCAGGTTCTCATCGGTATGTGTGCACCTTACTTTGTTTGGATTCCGGGGGAAAGCCATGGACATCACGAGATGAGAATCTTGCCATGAGCGCTGTTTCTTGCGGATAAAATATTCAAACATATAAGACCAAAGCAATTGCTAACAAGAAACTAGGTCAACCCTTTGGTATGTGATCTGCCCGAAGCAAATCTCAGGAGGCATTGTTTAACAACTCGGCAGACATTGTCAAGGTGCGCCTGCAAACTACCACTCAGTATAAGAGTGCGTTAGAGTGCGCAACCCAGATCTTCAAGAAGGAAGGTCCCGCGGCCTTCTATAAGGGCACACTGACCCCGCTTATCGGTATCGGTGCTTGCGTGAGTTGTCCCCGCGGCCAAGGTCTCCTAAAAACAAATTCTCTAACCAACCAATTCAGGTGTCTGTCCAATTCGGTGCCTACCATGAAGCGCGTCGCCGCTTGGAAGAGCTGAACAAGAAGAAATACGCCGACCCGGCTCTTTCTTACACCCAGTACTACTTGGCCGGTTCATTTGCCGGTATTACCAACTCTGTGCTGTCCGGCCCAATTGAACATGTGCGTATTCGTCTGCAGGCACAGCCGCATGGCGCCGGCGCTCTGTATTCAGGCCCCATCGACTGCGTGAGCAAGCTAGCCGCACAGGGCGGTACCCTCCGCGGTATTTACCGCGGCCAGGCGGTTACTCTTATCCGTGAGGCCCAGGCATACGGTGCCTGGTTCATGGCCTTTGAGTACATGATGAACCAGGATGCCAAGCGTAACAATGTCAAGCGGGAGGATATGTCCAAGGGAAAGATTGCCATGTACGGTGGTCTGGCTGGTGAGGTCCTCTGGCTTTCCAGCTACCCGTTCGATGTTGTCAAGAGTAAGATGCAGACCGATGGATTTGGCGCGCAGCAGAAGTACAGCAATATGCGCGACTGTTTCAAGAAGACCTATGCCATTGAGGGCCTTGCTGGTTTCTGGAAGGGTATTGGCCCTACTCTGCTGAGAGCTATGCCTGTTTCTGCTGGAACATTCCTGACGTATGTTTGCCCTTTGCTTTGCTCACTCGTGATACTTGTGATTCTAGAATTTCAGCTAACCCCTCTCATCAGTGTCGAGTTGGCCATGCAGGCACTGAGTTAAAGGTTCGGTAAGGGTTTTTTTATGATGAAAGTTGACGTATTTGGGTTTTTTTTTCGGTTTCACTTGAATTCTTTGATATCCAGGGCTTGTTAAATACCCCACAGTTGGATGCAGCGCCACTACAAAAGTGAACGGCATTTCAAAGCTTATAGAGATCTATATCCATGTCTAACATTGAGCCAATGTGAGATTAGATATGCGTGTACAGTGTTCCCAATATACAGAGTTAAGATTCCTGAATTGCATATTTTAGCTTGGCAAGAGAGATATCTTGATTAATGACGATAGGTCGAGAATTCCGGCGAGCGCTGGCTTTGGCTGTGAGCAGGACTGTTCGCTTGGTGATGAATATCGCACTTCATTGACTTTCGTGTCAATTTGTTGTATGGTATAGCGATTTAGAGGCGAATGCACTATTATTACTTACGCTACATTCTTTACATCCATGAGTCGTAAACTCTTACGGTTGACCATCATTGCTGCCCAGCGTTTCTATACTCGTATAGCTACTAGAAGGGACAGTGTAATACTCTTTTTGAATTATTTTAGAATCTTTAAAGTCAACTTAACCGCAAAACCATATTTGGTTGACACCTGAGGCATTCATGCAGCAGCCTCAGCAGGCAAACCCTGATGTCATCTGTCCTGGTCATCAAGTTATCCTGCTTCGACCTTCCCAATTGCAACAACTATGCTCTGTAGTCATATTTGAATATTCTGGTCAATCCTCGTTGTGTATCTCACAATATACCACTTCATTTCCCTCTATTTGAACCTTGCCCCATGCTTACGACCATGGCCACAACCACCGCGCGACCTGCCACCACCCCATCGGCTGTTCTCCTCATATACCCTGCAACATTATTACTGGGGTCTCTGTTCTCAATAATCTCTCCAACAGCGCGCCATTCCAGAGATATTTCTGGCTCTTCCCCACAGCCCGCAAGCCCTCTGGCCCCATCCCTGGCTGCAGACCTGAACCTATCCGAAGGCCCCGTCAACTACTTTGCCCGAAAGAATAATGTCTTCAATCTCTACTTCGTGAAGATCGGATGGCTATGGACCACAGCTGCCTTTGTCTCGCTCCTCATGTTCCAACCTATCTACTCTTCATCTCGCCGGGAATCCTCTTTACAAAAAGACGCACGTCTCCGACGAACACTCCAAGCCATTCTACGCTATGCACTCACGACAACAGTTTGGTATCTTGCAACACAATGGTTCTTCGGGCCGGCAATCATTGATCGCGGTTTCGTTGCCACGGGCGGCAAATGTGAACAGGCTTTCGAGGAAGTCGGGAAGATGACCGTTGGGCAGAGCAGCCGCACAGACTTGGGAACGCTATTCACGGCAGCGACGTGCAAAACCGCCGGCGGTGCATGGAGGGGTGGACACGATATTAGTGGACATGTGTTGATGCTGGTTCTGGCTACCGGATTCCTGGCATTTGAGGCCGTCGGGGCAAGCGCACCCGCATGTTTGTCACGTTTTGGTCCCACTGGGGACGCAGGACGTGAGCGCAAGTCCAGTGATGCCGATGGTTCTCCAGTAAGCGATTCAACCGAGACTAGTGGGTTCGCAAGAACGTGGTCACTCCGTCTTGTTTGGGGTGTCGTTGGCCTGGGCTGGTGGATGCTCTTCATGACCGCGATCTGGTTTCATACTTGGTTAGAAAAGGTGCGTGCAATCAAATACTACCACGCTAAACATTTCTATTGGCTAACGGTTCCTCTAGTGGTCTGGTTTGTTCATTGCTTTGAGTGTTATGTATGCCATCTATATACTCCCAAGACAGATGGCATCATTGAGAGACGTGATTGGACTTCCGGGAGTATAGAAATAAATCTTTTTTTTTGCCGCGAGATCTAATTTTGAGCAGCTGTCAATACATCGAATGATAATGATAGATTGCATTGGTTTTGAGCACGGAGAAATGCTCAAGCCATCTTCCTCTTGATGTTGAAATAGTCATACTGGGAAAGTCACCTGTACGTTCTATGCTTTACCGTCTGCGAGCATATTCCGTTGGGCCTATACATATTGTACATCGTAGAGCGATAGGCCCGGCATGGCTACATGCAGATGTACTCCGTGCTGCTATTACTCCCATTCCTAGCGGTACTTTTATAGCTAACGGCTTTTTCGATCTATAACACTGAGAACAAATTTGTGCTTGTAACAGGAATGAATTGATGACTTGAGAGTGTTGGATTTACATTAAGACGATGATAACCAACCATTTTGATGGAAAAATTATCAAATGATTCTTTGAGGGTGTTAACAGGAAGTTCCCGAGGCCAAGTTAGTCTTTTATAACATTTCCAATCACGTCAGACACTCCTTCCTCAAGTCAGAATCCTAGTTGATATGTATCAGTGGTTGGAAAGTGAAACTTGTGTGTTTGTGGTTTTATGCTCTTATGAAGATATCCTGGGCCATTGTGGGCCAATCAAAATCACTGCTTGCCCTAATCCTTCATTGTAGATACGTAATTTTGTAGAACAGCGTATCTATCCATTCCAAAAAAATCCTTAGAGTAACCTGTAAGGAGACTGTTCGTCTCTGCCTTAGCATCGTGCGGTGAATGTGTTGCTAGAGTGTTGATGTTGGTTCCTGTCCCAGGAAGCCAGCTCGAAATGCTGGAATTAAAGTGTCAAAATACTCAACTCATCATAGGCGCTGATTGGACTTACCCCCTGGTATCAACGCCGACGCATACATCACCCGCGTAATGGGCCTCAAGTCCTCTGGTGTCAGATCATCAGATATTGATAGCTGCATGTATGGATCCCAAGCAGCAATTATGGCATCTGAATAAAATTTCAAATCGACTGAGGGTTCTTTTTCCGCGTTCGCCTCTGACTGGCATTGGATGCCCATGCAGGTACCGAATTCGCGAAAGGCCAAGCGAAATCGGATATTGCGCTCCAAATACCGATTGATCTCGAACAGATTGTCTGGAATCATCACCCGTTAGCTTGGTCCTTACTATTATTGCTTCACGGGTATTGACACAAAGGCGACTGACATATTTGCTCGAAGCATTTCCCCGCGAGGTCAGCAGCCCATCTCTCTCGCCCGGAATACCAATGCGCCGTCCATAAAGTCATACCCAGATCCAAAGGATCACTTGAAACAAAGTGTTCTCCTTTGCGCTCCATCGTGCGTCTGTAGTCGTCGATCTCCTCGGCCAAGACCGCGCCATCACCTGTTTCCATGGCTGTAGCCTGCAGTAGTCGAAAAATAAAAAAGCCGTCAATCGGATCAAGATTACCTTCTGACTTGACCAGCGGCTCTGACAGGTCCATGCTCATCTTCCATATCATTCTTGGCCGGGCTGCCGCGCGATCAACAAAAAACCTTGGGTGTATCGCTTTTGCCAGCTCTATGGCTTGCCTGTTGTACTTCACATCCCCCGATGCTTTGGTCATCCGGTTTAACGCAAACATCCAAATCGTTAGGTAATGGTGATATTGCCCATCACCATCTG